GACCAGAAGGGCTGGCTGCCTTCAGATGATAGTTGTGCATATTTAGGTTTCCCACCTGCTACTGGCATTAGAGAAAGCTCAATATGAATTTTTTCACCTGAGCTTGGGTTTCTTTAAACTTCTCCATCAGTACAAGACTCCTTCTCACCTTCCTGCTCGCATCCTGTTCTCTCCCCTGGGAACATTTCCTGCTACTGCAGTGAGACCAAGGCTTGAGACTTTCTTTTGTTCTTTAGCTGGTGGGTAGGCACCAGCTGGGGAAAAGCAAGTACTCAGGCTTTCCCTAGGCTTTCATGGATAGACCCCATCCCTAGGGTGCAAGGTATATGCAGAAGCAGGCAATTGCTTCACCCCTGGAGAAGGTGCATGAGGGTTCTGGCATCCATAGAGCGACCCTTACGCATGCTGTGCAACTGTAAGCTGATTCCCAGGGGAGTTTTGCGAGCGTGAAGCCCCTCTGCGATAACACTGCTTTGCAGGTGGCTAAGGAACAGGCAGAGAGCACTGGGAGCACCAAGCCCTGTTGGAGGTTGTGAGCCGAGTCCTCACAGCAGCTCCTTGCTGCACCTTCGGAATTGCACTATCGAAAGATCTGCCTCCCAGTTGAAAAATAACAGATGTGTTTACCACACATCAATCTGTCTCTGTCTGGGTCCTTACACGGCCCCCATCATCATCCTATTCAAGAGTCTGCAAAGTATTTAAAAATAGCATTAACGCTAACAATCTCTCTTTCTTTCCTCCCCAGCTTGTAGCAGAAATAGCTTGATTAGTGTACAGTTCTGGTGCTTCAAGGGGGAGAGAAATGAAACTGCAGAGCTTTGCAGAGTGGCTTTTCAGCCTTCTTCAGGCAGCAACTGTCGGCTGCTTCGCTGAAGCACAGGTTCTTCAAAGGATGGCAGATTTTAGATCAAGGACTGCTTGTTCTGCCACACATATTCTCAGGCAGATTTACAATGAGGAGAGAGAGAGGCCCTGCTGCAGCTTTGGACCTTGGGAAAGATGGACCTGATGCCCCACCCCACTTCCTGCTGTCACGATGTTACCACATCCAGAAGTCTGGGAAGGAAAGGAGTTGGGAAGGGGGTCTGTCCTGGGGCAGATGAGCAGGTTAGGCAGAAGATAGCTCAGCAAGCTCTCTGAAAATACCACCAAGGTATTTTCAATACCTCCCTGCCTGACCTCCCTGACATCGGCAGGCAAGACCACCACTGTCTCATCATGTCCCTCAAATATGGATTTCAGGGGTGATTTTGAGGGAACAACTTGTCTTCTCCAGGGCTCATCCTTCTTCTCAGAAGAAAAGAGAGCTTCATCGGGAAGGTTTCACTCACTTTAGTACATTTGTGCAGTATTTTTTGAGAGTGTTTTGAGATTTGTATTTACAGAGGCTGTGTGATGCCCTTACCTAACAATGCTTCATGGGCCATGTCAGCTGCAGGCAGGACTCTTGACTGACCTTTTCAGTAGGTTTCCCTCCCAGCTCCCTTCTCTGCCTTCCTCTAGGGCTGCTGGCAGCTCTTCTTCACCCTGTGTTTGTGAAATACACCATGCCAGCCAGGAATCAGAAACAGCCCTGATTGCTTCTTCCCTGCCTTGAGGGCAATGAAGAGGCAAGTTCTCAGCACAGCTGCTAACAGACAGGTACCCACAGCACAGCGTCACACACATACCCGCAGCTGAGGACAGCAGCAAGGTCCCTGCTGCCCTGTAGCCAAATCCTTTGTCAAAAGGAAGGGTGGGAAATGTGAACAACTCACTCCCCCAGTCCTATAAGGTGCCTCAGACACTCACAGTGCCATGCATTGCTTGTAAGAGCAGCAGCAGGAGCGATGGGCCAGGAGACCGGGGAGCAGCTGCAGCCACTCAGCCCAGATGGAGCGAGACCTCGGGAGGCTCACAGTGCTGAGGCACAGCTTCCTCCGTTGCAGCATGAGTCAGTGAACATTTTCCACAGCGACTCCTCTCCTATGACTTACTGCTGCAAGGCTTGGGGATGTGGTCTGTGGGTCTGCCTCGAGGCTGACACAGCATCAGGCCCCTTAGGGCATAGCAGTGAAAAAGCAAGAAAAGCAAATTGCAGGAATAAATTGCACACAGATTGCAACAGTAAGCTACCCTCTCCAGCAGCATCTCTCACAGGATCTCGAAGCACTTACCACTTGGAAAGAAACTTATCTTAGTGGCAACCTCAGGATGGAGATTTCATGGAGTTTCACATCATGTTGTACTTTCAGTGGAGGAAGTGTGGGCAGAGAGAGCGGCAGACAGCCTACAGCGTGCCAGGGAAGAGCTGCCACCCAGAGCACTGCAGTGTAGATTGCTGCATATGTCTGTGCTGGCCACAGCTGTGGTGGTGGTGGAAGGAGGAAGGTCTTACCAGGGCAGCAACTCCACTGCCATGTGGCTAGGAACACAGACTGCCCCAGGCATTGCTTCCAGGAGGGATAAAGAAGACTATAATATGCTGGATACTCCACTGTCTCCTCCAATAAATCTACTCTGGATGCTCTAGCCAAGAAAAATGTCTCTGCACAGACCCACCTTCCCCAGAACTGAGTCTCATTTCAGAAGTACAGCTTTTGCCAGGAGCCAGCTCTGACTGGGGGTGGGGGAAAGAAGCATAATCCTGAACTGCTGACCCTCAGCCCCTCCAGTCCAACCATAGGATGGACTGACTAAACTGTGTCTCTGTGTGTGGCAGCGAAACAGTCATGTCAGAGGTTGTGGACATAAAAAGGGAGAACCTGGAGCACGAGTAAGCAAAGCCTCGAGTGGTATGGGCTTCCAGAGTTTCCAGCAGCCTTGGATCTGATCTCTTCCTCCTGCACTCCAGAGAGAACCATAGAAGTCAAAGTCCTTAACCAGCATCTCCTAGAGAGGTCCTAGGGTTAGGGTGTTCACCCAAGGATCATCTCCAACTCACTAACCACCTGAGTTGTCTGTGGCTAATAAGCAGTCAGTTATCTCCTCTGTGAGATCTTTCTCCAGCCACAGGAGGATAAAGTCTCTGTGTTATCCCAGGGAATGCTGGGAGACTCAATGCCTTTCAGGAGTAGGCAGTCAATTTCCTTGGCGCAGGTGTTCCTGAAACCAAGGTGCTGCAGAGCTGGAGCACCCCAGCTAGCTAATTCTTGGAGCAAGGTAATGCTTCTGCTGGTAGTGCAAGAGTAATTCAGGCTTCTGGTGAGCCATCTGTGGGGAAGCATCTTGCCATTTCCTGACACCCACATGCTGGCTTTCAGCCATGAACTCACAGAACTCTTCTGGGCTGACCATACAACCTGGGGACTTCATACTTCCAACACTGAGAATGGCTGGCTGGGTGGGTGGATGGATGGATGGATGGACATTAAGGGCATTGGATGCCCATTAAGGGCAGCCTGAGATGCCAGAGCAGGATAGTGCCAGCTCTCAACACACTTGATGAAGGGCAGCAATTCATGCCCTACTCTAGCCGAGGGAAAGCTGCAGAAGGACATAGCCAGTGTCTGACACCCACAAGAACAGCAGTGGTGAGCATGGCAGCAGTCCTGCTGGGTGCTGAACACATCCGCCTCAGAGCGTCCCCTTGGCAAAGGGAGAAGCAGAAGAGTGAAGGCACTGGCACTGGCCTGCTGCTTTACCCATGTTGGGTTTTTCTTGGTGTTCCACTTTGTAAATGTCATTTGGGCTGCAAAATGTCACTTGATGTCTTTCTTTCCGAGGTGTTTTCAGCAATGACTGCTCTAGAAACATAGCCAAGACCTGCCAGCTAACCTGAGAAAATAGACTTCTCTTGTTCTTCTCCAAGAGCACTTACCAGCCAAGGATCTCAAAATATTTTGCCCCGCTTAGTGCATCCCACAGCAGGAGCTTTGTTACCTGAAGCCAAACTTGATGAACAAGTTCCCAGCTGAGCCTGGGACTGTGCTACCTTCTATGCCTCATGGTTTGCTGAAAGCTGTGGCCACCTCTTCAGGAGAAACTCCTGAGATATGGCAGTCACAACCCTCAGAAGGGCAAGGGAGGGACAGATGTGTACTGTGCAGCCCAGTGCAAGGTGAAGGCTAGAAAGAAGTCTCTTACAGCAGGGCTGAGGTGTGACAGCCCTCATTTCTGCCTTCTGTGCATGCAGCCCCAGCTGGGAGGCTGAAGGAAGAGCTGCTTCTCACATGCCCCCTCAAGCAGTATGGTGACTTTATGGCCAAGAGACATAGCTCCTAAGGGAGGCAGGCAGGGGAAAACTGAAGCTGGACGGTCCTCTGCACCCACATAACTTGCTCCAAGGCAGAAGCTGCCAGACAAAGTGTTGGCTGTGTCTCTTCATGTGGCCAGAGCAAGAAATGGCCCAGTGGCTGCTGCAGTGGGAAATGGTTGCACCAGCACTCCTGCCCACCTCAGGGAAACTGAGGCACGCAGTGGCGATGTGCGCCATCAAGCAGCAAGTGGGGGGACCAAATCTCAGAAACACAGTGGTCCCCGGCTTAGAGCTGTGCCCTCTAGGTTGCCTTATCGATAGCCAACCCTCACGGGCGGTAGCCGGGGCAGGTGGCTCCTTCTGGGTGCAGTCAGATGGAGAAATCACTCCAACACTCGGTTAGCGGCAAAGCGATCCTCCCGGGACGAACAAAAAAAAATCCCACCCCCTCGCCTTCAGCGGGGAAAGCAGCGGCCGGGCCCCGGTCAGGGAACCCTCCCCCTCCGAGGGTGCCCGGCCCCACCGCGGGCGGCGGGGACATCGCTGCGGTCGCGCCCGGCCCCGCTCCCGCTTTGCCCGCTTTTCCCGGCTCTGGTCCCCTCCTCGCCGCTCCTTCCCCCCTCGCCGGCTCCGCTCTCACCCCTCTCCCGTTTAAGGTGGCCCCGCGGGATGCGCGGCGCGCAGGAGCCGCTGCGGGCGGCCCTCGGCGCTCCCCCACCCCCGGCGCGGGGTGGCCTTAAATCGGCCCCGCGCCGCCCGTAGCCGCATCGCCGGCGCCGTCTGAAGGCGGGCGCCGCCATCCGCCGGCAGCGCCGACGGGCCGGTCCCGGCTGCGATCCCGGTGCCGGTGCCGGTGCCGGTGCCGGTGCAGGTCCCGCGGCGCAGGGAGGACACGCCTCCGCCCGGCGGCGGGCGATGCTCCCCCGGCAGCCCCCGGCGCGGTGCCGCCCCGCGCTCAGCGCCCCGGCATCTCCGCCGTGACCGACCTATCTCACCAGGTAAGCGGGAGCCCCGCGCTCGGGCACTGGGGTTCTGGGGGTGGGGGCAGCGCCGAGGATACAGGGGTGACCTTGCGGTCCCCCGGCGCTTGGCGCTGGAGGAATGCTCTGTCCTGCGATCGGCGGCGGCGTTCCCGAACTTCATCCCTGCTCAGCGCCCGAACCGGCTCCGCTCTTCACGGGGAGCCCCTGTCCTTGCATCCCCTCACACCTTGGCCGGGGCACCTTCCAGAGGAGCGGCATCCCACTCTCAGGCTGGAATTTTCCAGCTGTGGGGAGATGCCCCCATTCCTGGTGTATGTCTACCCGGGAATCTCGCCGCCGGGAACTCCGAGCGATGGTACCCAAACGCGGGTCTCGGACACACCGCTGCTCCCGGAGAGGTTTTATTGCGCCTCTTGGTGACAAATATCAGGGAAGCCAAAGTACAGAGGGGCGACGGGGTTTGTGTGCAAGCACAGGCAGGCTCGGTGGCAACCGAATCCAAGTGGACATCACCGTAAGGAGCTCTGGAGAGGTGCACTGGGAGAGGGCAAGAGAAGGAGGGCTGGGGAAGGGCTCTGCCCTTTTCACCCCAGCCTGGCACACGTGTGTCTGCCGAGGAATGCACTTGCTGGCTTTCCGGAGCAGAGTTTGGGGTGTATGTTGCTAGGTGAGTTGAAAAGTACTTTTTTCGGCATTCTACTCCTGCAACTCACCCATCCAGCCTCAGGCCAGGGGAGAGGAGGGGGTAGGCTCAGCAGCTAGTGCATGACAGGAAGAAAACCCTCAAGGTGCTGCAAACCTGGAGAGAAGCAGCTGTTTTCTCAGTAACTCCTTAGGGAAATCTGCCAAGGGGCAATTTCTGTGCATCTGGGTAGAAGGGGTGTTCGAATCAGTGGGGCAGCACCAAACATCACCATAGCAGCGCAGTAATGACCAGCAATAAATACCTGTCCGACAACTTGAAGTCCGCACAGCTCAAGGAGCGAGTGGGGAAGAGGCAGCGATGCAGCCTCTGCAGGTGCTTTCAGCTCGTTTCCTGGACCCATTTTCCTTGTGCAAAGCACGTATGCAGGGAGTGTAAGAGGCTACAGCAGCTTCACATACAAGTCTGATCACCTTAAATCTCATCTGGTGCAAAAAGGGAAAAATGGGTGGGGAGGTTCATGCCTTGCACCCCTGGACAGCCAGCAGAAGTGCAAGGCATTGACCTTGCTAGCCTCAGACAGGACTATGAACATGGATCATATAGCAAGCTGGGAGACAGGTGCACAGAGACAGCAGGATGGGAACCTCATAGAAGAGAGGCCATCATTTCTCTGAAATGAGATACCTTGGTAGAAGATTATGGGGACCTCAGTCTCAGGTAATAGGGAAGGTTACAGGGCACGAGGTGAGCAGCGGCAGAGCTGTGTGTGACAGCCTGTGTCACATCTTTTTGCAGCTGTGCATGCTGCCAATCCGCTTCTCCCCATGCCTTGAAACAGGATGCGGGAGCCTCGATGACTTTCGGTTGGTGCTTGCTCCGTGGTTTCCTGGAAGCTCTCTGTTAGCAGGCATGCCTTGGACACAGACCGTGCGTGAGTGCCAGCGGCTGAGCACATGATGTGTCTGCCCGGTGTGAGGCCAGGAGCTCACTGGCTGTGATTCCTGCCCTCCCTACCTTCCAGGAGCGACTTTGGTGTTGCTTTCAGGGCACTTCAGTCTGCACTGAATTAAGGCTCTGCAGGGCAGTTAATGTGCAGAGGTGGATGGGCTGAGCAGCTAACACGTCGTATCGGTTGTTTCAGGAATTAGATGAGATCAAATTAAAGCTCTTGGCTTCTTTGGCATTTTCAGTGTAGTAACAATAATAATAATAATTGAAAAAACGTTTAGGCACCCTCGCAATCCCAAAGCAATTCAGCCAGCTGACACAGAGCACAGCTGAGATACAGCCACCTTTACAGCGAAGGGCCTCAGCCTGGTTTGCAAAGCACTTTAGCAGCCATGGGATAGAAAGCAAAGCAGTTGGGCTGAGGACACTTGCTCCCACGGCAAGGGTTTTAATGAGGGAAGCTCCCGCACCTTTGGGCTTTGTTACAGTGTCATTTGGGAAGACTGTTGCCTAGGGAGCTGTACAGAGCTATAGAGCAGCTAAATGTACACAAGAGGGAAAACACTTTCACAGTGTACAGCTCTTAAATTCATATTCTTTCCATGGTTTGGGAACATCTTTGTGACTATTGCCTACGTCCTCTAATGACATCTTCCCTGCAGTGTCCGAGGTCATACTGGACAGCTCAAGGCTATGTCTCCTGTGTAGCCAGCGTCCTTTCTTCTTGCTTATGAAGCATTGGTAGAGGTGCTTTTTGGCAGGGAACTTCCCTCTGCTTCAGCAGCAGGCCAGGAGATGTCCTTAGAGTCTGAGAGCAAAGTCGTACCTAGCTGGCAGCTTGCTGGCAGGAGCCTGGATTGCATTCACTCCAGCTGTACCCTTGGATAGCTTTCCTCCCCTCTTTACCACGGTAATCACCTGCCAGTGGCAGTGCCCTGCACGTCCTCGTGTTTCTCAGTGCCTTCATAGCTCCAGCCTCTGCTGCCCCTCTCCCTCAGGGTGCTGGTGCTGCAGGAACAGTCACCTCCAGCTTCCCACCAATGCCTCGAGAGGCAATGTTGCTGTCCCAGCCATCAGAAGCCACCCCACAACCCCATCCACCTCCTGGAACTACTTTCAAAACCTTTTCTTCCTTCTCTTCAGCACTCTCAGTTGTTTTTCCTATTCCCAGTATTTGGGAGCAATAAAGACGTATGCTGCAAGCCTTCATGTGTATGTCTATAAGGGATGAGATATTTGATAGGCTCCAAAGATGCCCTTTACTAAGCATGCAGAATTGCTCTGGGAAAGCTCTGCAATTATTCTGCAGGATGTACACAGGAAAGATGATATCTGTCCCCTTCCTCTTTGTATCTAATTGTTCCTAATAAAAGAAGAAGCCTAAAAGGGAGGTAATAAGCCAGATAGGAATCCAGGTCCCACACACCTCCAGGGCCCTGGAGAAGTCTAGAATCTCTCTGCCCTTTTTGCTTCTGGCCTTTATGCCTAATAATAAGCATTATGCTTTTCTGCACCGCTTCCCATCCCAAGATCTCAAAGTACTCCACATATGTGATTAAGAGCACTCCCTGCCCACATACAGAGCTGTTTGTCAGGATGACTACCTCCACTTTACAAGGGAGACACTGCAGCTCATCACGTCAGAGCTGAGACAGACCCAGATCATCTGTCTCCCAGGCGAGGCCCCTGCAACTCTGAGAAGCACTTGCTGGGAAGAAGCTCAGACTGACAGGACTGCGATTTAAAACCAATGAATACTACAAAAGACTAATAAATACAGAGCACAGTGAGACCTGTGGCTGTCAGCACCCTCCTCTTGGGTGCAGGCTCTGTCTAAAGCCCCATCTTTGACAGGGACGCTGGTCAGACCCCACTGATTCTTTCAGGCTGGGGTGTGTCTCCAAACTGTGCCTTGATCCATGGTCAACACACTTATAGAAACTTGGTCCTTTAATCTTTCATGCTGTTTTAGGCCGTGCAGGCTCATAATTAAGAGCTTGAAGTCTCTTCTAGCTTGCTCTCATGTGACATTAGTGCTCCCGAAGGTCTTTTCTTAAAAGCTTGAATTTATCTACTTTGCCAATGTTCCCAAGTGTTCAATCAACTGCCTTGTTGGCTTCCTCCACCATGCAGTGTGTGGGGCTGTCTGAGATCCTTTTCCCTGAGATGAAAACAGTGCACTTTGCAAATTCCTCAGATTTAGAAAACGTGAGCCAAGTTTCCTCAGGAGGCACAGCTTCACGGGGCTGATACACAGAACTGGAATCTACGGCTCCAACACAGGGGCCTTTAGATTTAGCATTTTGTTTGTTGCTCATCCCTACTCTGATCAGGTAATCCCACTAATGCCTGGTGCACATAGCAACATTCCTTAAAATGGGGTTGGTTAGTTCAGGGACAGAGTTGACAAGGGACATTGGGGTGAAAAACAAAGCAATCAGCAACATGGAAGAGGGAGAATGAATGCTTCTTTACATGGCTTTTCTGAGTAGAGGAACTGGAGTGCATCCAGGAAAATGTGAAAGGTAGCAATTTGATGATAAAAGTACATTTTTTCCCCTGCTGTGACTGTGACATGAGGAACTCACTGTTACAAGATGCTGCTGGTGCTGAATGTAGGATTAAGAAAAAGAGGAGACATTTTGATGGATAGTAGATCATTCATCACTGGACAGGTCAGTCCATTTGAAATAGATCTAAATCTTCAGGCTTCAACCCCTCAGAGTTGCCTAGCATAGGATTTCTTATATCTTCTAAAACCCACAATATTGATCAATGTAAGAGACAAAGGACAAAAGGATAGAGACATGTTCAAGTGAAGATCACTGGGGCATATTTTAATTTCCAGGCAGAAGCAAAAAATATGTGTTTTTCAGCCTGTGTGCTGACACTTAGCTCTCATAGGTTTGGGTTTCGTCAGCTGGAACAGGTTCAGGTTAAGTTCTGATTAGACTTGAGCTGGTCCAGTGGTGCTTATGTTGCCGTTTCCCCTGCCTGTGTTATGGATTTTAACAGACTGGAAGCATCCTGGCAACTTCATGCAATGCTGGTCTATGAATAACACTGTATTTCAAAAGGAAGTGGTATTGTTCTATTCTTTGGATGTTACCTCCTGGCAATGAGAGCAAGGGCATTTATTCCCAGTATAGCCAACCTCTAGATAAGCAAGTGCTGGGATTACTTGGAGCCGAACAGGGTTAGCAGTCGGGCAATCTCAGCTCTGGATAAAAGATTTGAGAGCAGCAGTATTGTCTCGTTCTGTAAGTTCACGGTGGGTCTGTGTGTGGGAGTACAGGGCACATGGGAACTGTGATTTGCTAAGCAAAGGAGGATTGCTCCTCGACAATCCTCGTAGGGAGAACTTGGAGAAAAAGCCAAGAGCCAGGCAGGCAACAGTATCTTGCAGACCCTGCCTCCCCTG